ACACTATCTCTTTTTATATGAATCATATATTGTCATATTGGATTTCACTTTAAAGTTTTGTAAGTTTTTTTTATTTTATTTTATACTTGTTAGTAAGTATGTTTTAACAAAAAAATTAGTATACTCTTTCTATCTCAGAATAATTGATATTTTTTATTTAGAATTTATCTCAGAATAATGGTCCTTTTTTTTATTTTGAGGAAGATAAATAGTTTTTTTCTACTTTTATTTTCTATTGGAAGTAGATATTTATTCTTAATTATTTTTTAAGTATAAAATAGGTAAAGATAAAAATTGTTTTCAAATCTTTCATTTGAAGAGAAAACAAAAAAAATCTACTATTCTAGTGTGGAGGTAGTAATATTTAAGAAATAAAACTTATTGATTTTTTATTATCACAAAAAAATTTTATAATTTCCTTTTAGGGTTTAGAGTTGTTGAGATTATAAATAAAATTGAATATTATGGTAATATTGAAGTTATATAAAATAAAATTGGATCAGAATAAACAAAATTTTAAAAAAAGTACAAATCCATAAAGGGAACATATATGAATCCAATAAAAAAGAAAAACCTTGGATATAGTCATATAGAGAAAAGCAATAGGAACATAAATTAGTATAAAAGGAATATAAACTCGTATAAAGTGTAATTAACTTGTAAGAAGGGAAAAAAAATTTGTTTGCTTGTAGAAAGTCGTAGGGTAAAGAGATAGGATGTTATCGTATTTCTGAATTATGTCAATAGCTTGTGGAGACAAGAAAATCAGAAATCTATAATCTCATTTACAAGTTAATTACTTTGATGGTTACTCTTCCACTTTCTATAACAATAACAAAAAATATATTTTCTACCATGAAAATTATGAAAACGAGATTTTGCAGCAAAATAGAAGATGAATTTCTCTCAAACTTTTTCATTGTTTATATTGAAAAAGAAATAGTTCAATCATTTAGTATAGACAATATCATAAATAGATTTTGTGACATAAAGACTCATTAAGTATTATTTTAATATATGATATAAAAGTAAGTTTTCAAAATTACAATATATTATTTTAAGACTTGAAAAGCCGGCCCCCCTTGACTAAAATTCTTAGCTCCACCCTTCTTAATATAACTTTTAAAGAGGCTCTATTTTAATATATGTATTGCAAAAAATATTATGTTAGGTGTTTTATTTAAAAATTTAATATTTATTATTTAAAATTATAAAAAATAACGTTAATTACAAAAGTATAACAGTAAAATATGTTTTTATCCTTCATTGTACATGCTCTTAATATATCATGACATCAAGCTTGTATAGACCATCATGGAAGCCCAACGATTGAGTAGCCCAGCAGAGTAGAAACCCATGACATTGGGACACCAAGCGTGACACCTTAGGAACATATAAATATATATCCCCACACCTAACATGACTTGATATTAGTTTTATTTTTTTATTTTTATGGTTAATGCAAATAGGGTTGTAAATAAACTGAGCAACTCTTGAGTTGCTTGATTTAAGTTTGGCTCATTTGCTAAATGAACCAAAATTGAGCTCAATTTCAAGTTCCATAAATAATTGTGCTCAAGTTCAAGTTGTATGTTAAGGTCACCAATTACTTATAACTCGTTTATATTTAAAAATTAATAAATTATATTAATTATTTTAAATTATAAATGGAGGGCTATTCGATCCAAACTAAGGTTGTTTGGTAAACAAACCGAGCTCAAGCTCTATTTTTTTCTAAACTAGCTAAGCTCAAGCATCACTCAACAATTCAAGTTTCACTTTGACAAAGCCGAGAGCTCAGCTTGAACTTGTTGCTGTGGGGGTCGAGCACAAAAGAATTTCAATATTCAACTCGACTCCGCTCATTTTATAGCTTAAACGCAAATCAAATGTTTATGATGAAAAAAGAATGTAACATCAAGACATAGTACTAGAATGCAAACTTTTAGCATTGCACATCCACCTTGTTGATAATCTACTCCACATGGCTAAAAGTACCCCAACATTGTAATCTATGTGGGTAAATATCTTGTGATAGTTAAGTTTTTCAATAAAAGAAACAACAAAATGAGTCACTACACATTGTTGAATATCTAACTTAAGCCACATGGTATTTAAATGTTAATTAATGATTATTGGAGTACTAATTGGAATCTTCAAACACAAACAATAAGACAAATCATATGGGTGAAAGTATACATCATCTATATGGAATTTCTTGCTATATAAAAGTGCGTGAAATGATTGTACATAACTTCATGCTTCATATATTACAACAAGTTTCATGTGAGTGAAGATTATATTTCACCCACATGGAATTTATTGTTGTATAAAGGTGCATGGACAAGTACATCAGAGTTTGTACTTTATATTGCAACTTTTTGCACATCAATGAATATTATACACCCATGTAGACAATGTTGCTAATGCCGTAGTAATTAAAAAAAATGATTTTAAACATTTATGACATGAGCCACAATGTTACATATATGTTTCAAGAAAAAAAAAATGTAAGGATAGATATAAATTATATTTTACATCACTTTTCTTCAAAAAAAAAAAATTAGACTGAAAATAATGTTACTAACAATATAGCAATTACAAAATTTCTTCATAACTCAATATTTGCAATTATAAAACAAAATTAATCAATTTCTACAAATATAAAAAAATTAAAAGATAATTCAAAAATTAAATGAAACATAAATTAAATTCAAATTTCAACAATCCACCAACATATCTTCTAAATTGTTATAATTTCAACAATTATCAATCCTACAAAATAATATAACATACGTTAGAATATAAGTGGCAATCAAAATTAAAATAAAGTTACAAAATTGCTAAAATAAAACTCAAAATCAATAATTAAATCAATTCAAATCTTATGAATTGGGAACAATATCTCAACTTATAAAAACAAAGCCAATTAATATAAGTATACCAACAAAAAAAAAAAAAAAAAACCAACTTTACATTTTCATAAATTTTGAGGAAAAAAAGAAAATTTTAATTAAATTTGTTGAAATTTAAAGGGGGAAGAAGAGTTTTACCAACTCAAATAAAAAAAGTTACCTACAAAACCATGAAAAAAAAAAATTTTATCAATACTAATCAACTTCAATACATTAACAAGCAAAATTTAAAGACAAAAAAAAAAATAATAATAAAATGTTAAAATAACAAAATAGTAATATAAATATGATATGCTATTGTCATAATTTTAGGAAAATTGATTATCTAAGGCCACAAGAAGGAATGGCTGAACCAGAGAAAGGAAAGAAAAGAAGGATGAGGAAGAAAGGGAAAAAGATTTTAGTTTGAAGAAGATTTGTAATTATTTAAGAAACTTAACTTTTACATAAAAAGAGTTTTTGGCTTTAGGATTTGAAAATCTCTCCTAAGGGTGTGTTTGGTTTAAACGATGGGAAGTGATGGATTTGTCAACCAATCAAATTGCAATATTTAAAAATATTATAATTTGATTGATTATAAAATGTATTCTTTTTGCCAACAACCTAAGTCAATATAATCTCTTTCTAGTGGAAGTAAGAGTTTCAAATTTTTGAATCACATGATATACAGATGGAGTGAGTTAAAGGACGAGAGAGGGTTATCTTTCATTTTGCAGGAAAAGGTGTTGCCTAAAAAAAAAAAAAACCTCATTTGTTCTCTTTCATCCATTTCTTTCAAACCAAATATATTGTCTAAATGTGGTAAGTTTCCCTTTCCTCCCATGGGAACCTCATTTCATGTACCCTTAAAAATACAATAATTTTGTTCTAAATTATTATAAATTGGGTTCAACCCTCACTTTAACAAATTTCAAAATATTTACTTAATTTATCATTCATTTTAATGCAAAACCCAATATTCATTATGCAATTCAAATCCAACTTAACTACTCAGCACATTTGCCATTTAATATTATAAAAGAAAATCATATGGTAAATTTTGAAAATTTATTGTAAATTGAGATGGGGAAAGATTTTTCTTCTCCTTCAAAAAATCACCATAGGGATGGGAAGTGTTCTTTGATTGCATAAGGCTTTACTATCATTGCTAATATCTTCATATTAACAATTAAAATGTTCATACATCAAGAATTTGGAACAAAATCATCTATGTTATGAATATTGAGAATGCTATTATTTATTGTATTAGTTGATTAAGAATTAACACTAATGCTTTTTTGGTTTGAGGAAGAGGAGAGAAAGATAAGCTTCTCTATTTGGATAATAAAATATTGGTGGGGAAATGAGGGGAAGTGAAGGGTTTTTCCTTCTTTTATTATTATTATTATTATTATTATTATTATTATTATTATTATTATTATGCATTTTAATCAAACCAAATGAGAGGAGGGGATTTTGTTTCCCTTAAACCAAACAAGAAGTAAATGTATGGACAATTCATCTATTTCAAAATTCCTTGGATTGCTTTGTTTTCATTCATTATTTGGGAAATTTAGTGACAAAAGAATGACAAACTTTATGAGGATTCTTATTTTTAAGATTGTAATGACTTTCTTTTATTATTAAAACTATTGAATTTTAGTTAATTTTTCTTATTTAGTCTGATTTCTCTAATAAACAACTTGGTATATTTTGCTAGCATAAACATTCTCTATATTTTATTAAACACTAATATTGAGGGGGCTCTCTTTCTCAAACCTATTAGCAGAGAAGGGATCTTCAAAGATCATAATGACAATTAGATTATGAAGTTTGCCAAGAATATAGGCATTCCTAATAGAGTAATAGTTAAGTTTTAAGATATCAAGAATAACCTCCAACTTTGTTATTGCCAAGGGGTTTTTTTAAATTAACATTGAGTCTAACTCTTTTTTTGCTATTCAATTATTATTTGCCAATATCTCTTTTGAATTGTAAAGAACTCTTAAGGAATTTTGTTATAACTCAACACTACAACATGTTGATAGCAATAGCCATATGTGTACTAACCAC